GACAGTACTGCACATTGGCTTATTTTTATGAGCTTATTTTTATGATTAGGTTCACCCTTACACGGACAGGAATGAGGAGTACAAAGGAACTTCGTGAAGTCGCCTTGGTCGAAGTGATTCTGAGAGTCGTTAAGATGAACAAGGAATTCAAAACTCACATATACGCATTAAATATGTTGTTTCCACGCTTAGCCCATTCATCGGCTTGATACACCGGTTCAGGCAGTGACACAGCCGCACCAGATATCTGAAATGCACCAGTAGAAAACACCGATGAGAACCAGAAAGACCAAAATCCTCTAAACATTGAATGAGAGCAATAGACCTGGCTCTAGGGCAAACACCCGGTAGTTCGAAAAAACTTACTTGATGATGAAATGTAAGAGCTAACATCAGTGACTGCACCTCGTCCATGCTCATGTCATTCTCGTCCACAATAACTTGATACGATGTAGGCTTTGCAGTGCCCTGAAAGTACTTGACTGATGGATGCGGTTCATGACTTTCTTTTCTCTACCTGTAGTTAAACCGAATACAGTCGTTATCACTGAGATCAGACGAGGTGTAGATTTGGCGCAACGCCACTTCCTTCCCAACCACTTCATATAGAGATGAGGCACGATAATTTGGTACTTGGTCTAAGAGCGTAGCAAGGGTGTTACAGTTGGTAAAATGACTTAAAAGCGAAGTGAAACTGTCAAAAACCTGCAAAAAAGCCTTTGTACTACACGACTTAGGGAAACGATTTCGGAGGAGTTCCCCTTGACATCCTCCCATTACCGGATCGGTATGTGCAGCTTGACAGGGCACTGTAAGAGTACGTTCCTCGGAAAAGGCGTCACACAGCAACCGCACAGGGGCACCGGATTCTATGCTAGACGAAATAATACACGTCTTGGGATCTATCGTGCCACATGCCTTTATCGCCCGAAACCACAATGACCAATGGAGAACGGGCTCACACCGCGCCCAATCCCACTTCCCAACGACACGCCCCGATTGACTTCAGTGATGATGATTGTACAGCCAAATGTGGCACAACAATAAAGACTTCATTTCTTAATGTTCTTAAAAAGCCGGTAAAGGTAGACATGATCAGTTCTTCTAAGAGGTACGAGACGAGACCTCCCGTCCCTGGCTGAACTTCCTCCTCTGAACCCTTATCGATACATCTCTGCACCTCTTCTTTCACTCTCTCCACAGTTACGCCTCTAGTTGTCATCAGATACAACAAAAAAAACGTAAAACATTGCTTCTGCATTACCTGGTAGCTCTAATCTGAAAAAAATCCTGGGAAAGAGAGTGTACCTGGAAGGCATGATGACTCTGCATGTAAAATTCAGTGATGTCATTCCGCACCACATCCGTATCCACAACGGTGCCCGCTTGTGGATTGCCGTATGCTACTGGATTTTGTTTGTTAATTTGAGAGCATGAAGGTATGGCGTTTGGAAGAATGGAAGCTGAATCCTTCATACCTACAATAACGGGGAACGATTAGTACTCCGACAAGGTCAGCCTTGCTTCTCTCCGTCGCCGCACCGCGCGGCATTTTCGCTATTTGCGCAGCATTTGCGCCGGAATTCTTCACTCGTAAAAAATTCAAAAAGCAAAAATCATGGCTTACGCCTCCGAACTTCCTCTATCGCCAGTGAAAAAGTGGTCATGAAAAACGATGTAAGACAGGGAAAGCGCAATGCAGTAATCAAAAAAATCAAAAGAAGGGAGTTCACAAACAAAACCCAAGCAGTAATGAAACACAAAAATGGGTTCTAAAAGAACTGCTGTGAAAAAACAACAGAGACGGCCACAGACGCGAAAGTAGGCAGAATGGAAGAAATACAGCAGTAGCCAGAAAACATTAGCGCCCTATTATCCTGACGATTTGGGGAACAGGCAGCTTGAGGTGATGCCGAAACTACACTGAGAGAGCAGGTTTCCTGCTAGCACGATCTGCCTTTTGCCCAATCGCGCGGCGAGGCGGAAAATGGCTGATGTGAGCCCGGCTATGTATGTGACATGAGAATCGTAACTTGCATTGTCGCTCGCGTAGAGGACAACGCGGCGCTGCCAGAGACGAGCTCCCGCCCACCCATTCCAGTTTGAATTCGAAAGGAAAGAAAATTGCGTTACTACAGCGCGTCAGCAGTGAACGATCCTGACTGAGGTTTTGATGCTGTTATATTTCCTGCACATTCTGCTGTTCAACTGGGACATTCGTAGGCTTGTTTCTGAACTACCTGGTTGAAAATTAGAGTTAGTAAAGGAAATATGGTACGATTTGTTCTGCTGCTCCACTGCAAGAACGTATAGTTTGAATTTCCTGCGCATGTCGCCGCGTGACGTCCACACTGAGAAGCTCTCGCGCTCATCGCCAGATGGCGCGCCGCACGCGACCGCGGAGTAAATTACGCTTTCCTTGTCCGTTACTAAGCGAACCCACGTGGAGCCCCAGATTACGAAACTGCTTTGGCTACAGTATCTTACAAGGGAATGATTTAAACTTCCATGGACTTTCGATATGGTGAGACTTCTTAGGTACATCAATAGGGTCCGAAATGCTAATATGCTAATATGAGGCCAGTATTGAGTGCTTACAGGGAGTTCGCAAGCGAGTTTGCGCGTCGAAGTTTGCGAAACAGCTCAGTTTTTGGCTGCTGTAAAACTACTGCTGGTCATGTGGGCAGTAAGTGCCACCGATTGCTCTAGCTGCTAAAGGTTTCGTCTTCTAAAGTCCGATAAAGCTTAGTAGTTTGCATTACCACTGCTGGCTATAAAATTTTGCTTCGTCTCCTTGTACCAAGCTTTACTCCTAATGATTCAAGACATTCCGTGTCTACAGTTCCACTAGAGCATACGCAGGATTAAGTAGATAAATTATGTCGGTGAGCCAGTGCTGTTCTTGCGAAGAAATGACTGAAGGGTTATTTCAGTTGCAAAGACCAGCATACACCAGATGGCAGTCGAGTATTGAGGCTATTCACGGTGATCCATCTCCTACCGTCGTTTTTTCGAAAGTTTGAGTCACAATTCGAATTTCCTCAAGGTAACGTTTCTAGGAGTTCTTTCCACCCCGAACGAGAGATATGATATTTATTTCGCATACGGAGAGAGATGAGAGCTGTGAAGTCTGTGCTACAGCTGAAATCACTGGCCCAGCCACCCGCACACGAAGAAAAACAGTGAGAGGGACCTCTCATAACTTCCGCTGCACGTCAAGAATCCGAATTCCGCAAATTTTGAGAGGTAATTACGTAGTTACGTTGGTGTTAAGACGATACAATGATATCAGCTCATATGCAAATGTCAGGTTATCCTGTGGCCTTTCCTGGAGACACCTTTACAAAACCAGCAACTTTGGTGGAGAACTTGTTTCGGAATGTTTCCACGTACTCGTTTGCAATTGATACTGAGTAATGTCAAAAGCTGGTTGTGCAATGAGGATCTCGAAGCGCGAGGACCATGTTTCGTGCCATTCAAGAATCCATTCGTGCTATCGGTATCGCCACCGATAGGCAGCCATGTCATGGAAGGGAGCGCTGACAAAACATCACCTTGCGTCGGTAACGTGCCAGTGGTTACCACAGATAGTTTAACACTTTTACTTGTAATCGAGTTTATTTTGAGGCCGATAATGTGACTCACTCATAAACTATTCTATGCGATGCTGCGAAGTTACAAGCATGAACGGAGCCCATTAACATAATTCTATCATACCCATTAACATTGTTAAAACCGCCCATTCCTATCAAATTCTTTTCACTCACTTTTTGACCTACCCAGAAACCTATAGACAAATGAAAACGCCTTTTTGTGACCGCTTGTATGGACCCTACTAACAAGCAACAAACCATTTCCCAAAGCGTGCGCGATGACGTGAAACACTCCCTGTCAAGCAAAAGCTTCTGTAAGCAGACGAAGCAAAAACATTTTTTGTAGCCAACGGGGATGCAAACCCAGTGAAAAGCTTCTGGCCCTTGTAATGAGACCGTTAAGGCCACGGTTGGCAACTGCTTCGACGCGTCAGCAGCCTTTTTGTTGATCGAGCCCAACTACGGTTTTCTGCAGAATATGTTTCCAATAAAGTTCCTGGAGAGGTACTTTGCACTTCTTAAATTTCTCTGCATTATCCGTAATTATAATTCGAGACTTGCTTCTGTCGATGTACCTAGCTCTTCATTCAAAGTTCCATGGGACATTGAAATGATTCCTTTTTTAGACTCATGTCCGAAACCATCTCTTGGCCAACCTACCCTGTTTTTCGACGTGAAGTGAAACGGCATTATGACGTTTGGTAGCCACAATCACGGTGAATCGTGGCATCCATGATTGGCGACCGTGGAGATTTCCAAACTCTTCGCATGCCTGCTTGATCGCGAACAGCTCTTCATCAATCACCTGTGAAGGATTTTTCGTAACTATAGAAACCATTTCAGAATAATTATAGACGTAATTTGGGAGTCAAAGTTTGGTACGCAAATCGATTTAACCCAAAGGTATGCTATCTGCTAACCTTCAAAAGGCTAATTGTTCACCCCTTCTAAAAGTTGATCACTGCTTATAAGTTACAATCACTGGCCTTTATAAGTGCAATGCCTTTATTTATTAGAATAAATTCTTCATTACCATTTTATAGCTGGCCCTTTCCGACACATGTTGTGTACCATTCTCGTGTGAGTGACGACATTTTGCCGGCCATACACCGCGATTTTTCGTGAACAATTCAAGCATCCATTTGAAGCGAGCATTCAGTACATTGGGTTCCACCTATTGAGAGCATATCATTAAGAGAGCTAGCGAAATCCTCGAAACAGTTCAAAACCCACTTTCTCACGACCGTGGTGTCCTGATAGTGGTAGTCGCCAATGAATTTCTCACGATGTGTTTCGCCATTTGAATTGAAAACTGAAAACTGTTCCGATCAACACTAGACCTCTCTGGTAGACCCCACTTTATTTTTTTGAATTACGTATTAGGGGAAGAGGCCTCTATCAATCCAGACCTGCGAGTTCTAGAGGTTAGGATTCTGTATGAGTCGGCTGTAGTCTACTTCGCTACGAACGTAGGGGTGTGTCAGGCGATTAGTTTGCCTCGGTGCCAAAACCATTCTTCACCAATATTTGAAGCGATCAAGTGAGAAGGCTGTATTCTTATATTCGTTCGAGCACTTTGTTTCTCGTTTCTACTGAGCGCTTGTCGCATACCGGCTAAAAACAACCGTAGAAAACGGTAGCGGGCGCCGGATGCACATCTGAAACTCACACGCCTCTTCATGCTCGCAGCGAAATCTAGGAGTATACACCTTTAGTCACATTAGCCTTCACTCATTCCAATTTTTAAAGACAGCTAATTTTTGACCGAGACTTTTTCTTGCATTGGCAGAAATGGCTATAAACAGTTGTTCCGAGGTAAGTTTGACCTCCTGTAACACGGCTGTCACTATTCGCGCTCGGCGTCAAAAAGCGCTTGCGCCCGAGTTACAATCACTGGCGCCAAAACTCCCCACATCACCGGCGCCTGTGGCGCGAGCGTGAGGGAACTTCGGGCTATGCAAATGTGATATTCGTATTCAGGAGGTCAAACAACACATTATCCGAATCTGTCCATGGAGAAAAAAATGTCGGTCAAAAACTGGCTCAATTCTGCATGGATGGGGCAGTAAAAGGTGGACGTGCCAACGTTTTTCCTTACCGAAGTGATTTAGTAATCGAGTGTGTTTTACGAAAAACAAAAAACTCACTCCAACAACGCTGGGTTTGCTTGGTGGCATCCTGTTCTTTGTTTCGCCAGTTGTCGGCCTTCCAGGATGAGCAACGTCGTAACCAACTATGAGCGTCGGTACCTTGCAATCCACAGGTTTCTACTGCAAGTAAAATGTTGAACTGTACATCGTTTTGTAAACAGATTATATTAGGTTGTCCGGAAAGTTCTGCAGGTTTTGTGCTTACTATTTTTGAACATTCATTGCTGATTAAAAACTCACTCTCCCTTGCGTCTCAGTAGTACATCCTGAAGAGAATTCTTTGCGCTATCTGATGGTATAACTGCCGTTTCACCATTGCTTGATGAACCCCCTTTTTTGAAGAGTTTTACAAGTATGTCAAAAGAGGCACTTCCGACGATTTTTTCCGACTTATAAATTTGCGACCGCTCGAAACAGCTCACAAATTAACCAGGTGTGGGGCCCAATAGTGCTAGAGAAAGCACTGTGCGGCAATGGCTCAACAAATTTCGTTCTGGAGATTTCAGCCTTGAAGGTGAACCTCATAGCGGTCGACCTAAAGCAATATCTGACGAGGATTTTAGGGGGATTTTGGAGGCTGACCCATCCCAAACAGTTCGAGAGATTGCAGAAGAACCTAGGGCGGTGGCAAATCAGTGTTCAGATGGTCTGAAACGCATTGGCAGTGAAAAAACTCGATAAGTGGGTGCCCCTCAATTTGAGTGACCGGCAGAAATTGGCACGTCTCGCGGTTTCCTCTTCACTGCTTTTGCGCAACAGAAACAACCCGTTTTTGAACCGAATTGTCACCTGTGATGAAAAATGGGTCATGTATGATAACAGGAGACGTTCGGACAGTGGTTGGATTCGACGAACCACCGAGGTAATTTTCAAAGCGAACCCCACGGAAAAAAAGATTCTGGTCACGGCTGGTGTCATCGGCGTGGTTGTGATCCACTAATACTACTTTTTATACACCAGGGCCAACATCACAGCAGAGCCACTGCGAAAGGAATCGACGAAAAATTAAAAAAAGAATGTACCGAAAATTTTGTCAGCTGCAGCCAACACTTATCAAAAGAAAGGGTCCGATTCTTTTGCATGACAACGCCCGCCCACATGTTTCACAACTATCATAATAAATTGAACGAAGTTGGATTGAGTTCTAACCACACCTCACCATAGTTCTCAGCGCAGAACTTTCACCTAATCGACTATCACCTTATAAACATTTTTCAGTACTTCCCGTTGAGCTGAAAATACTTATATTTAGGACCAGGCAAAAAGGTACCTCTCGTAGATTTCGTGGATTCTCGACCACCCAGTTTTTTCTTGATGATTTCTCGACTGCTGTCACATTGGCAAAAGTGTGCTGATTCGAATGGTGCTTATTTCGATTAAATCCGATGAGTGTTAAGAAAGTTATGATCGTTTAAAGTGAAACACTCCAAAACGCTGAGAACTTTCCGGACAACCTAATAGAAAACACAAGCACAGCGAACAAAAACCGGGGAGGTCGGCGACAGGGGTGAGGGCATTTTGCTCTTTCGCTGCTCCATTAATTCCGGTTTCCATGCATTACTCAGTGAAATATCTGAATTCCTGTGAAGCAGGAGCAAGCTCGTCGAGCCACCATGGTAGAACCTGTCAACTCTTGTAAGCTCATGAAATAGCTCCCAGATGGCTCGACTCGCAGATGGGAAGTAGCAAAAGTGCAAAATGCCCCCCCCCTCGCCGAACTAGGCCTGAAAACCATTCAGAACTTACGCAAAAGACTCTGGTACAACTTCATAGTTGATCCCTCCTAGTTTCAGATTCGTCTTCGAGACGAAGTTGCCGCAAGACTGTTGCCTGAATATTGTCATGCCTTAATGCATCAGTACTAGATGGGAGATCTGCTTAACGCAGTAAATGGGGAACAAGGGACAAATCTTTCCCTACTGACCAACTGGAGCGGGGCGCTATCCACCAATTCTTACGGTGTTCACTAAAAGTCTCGGATAGTTCATTTTACAGCGCTCTCTCTCGAACACACTACTGACCACATCCCACACTCCTTTACTAGAACTTTATTCTCTTTGCCGACTCTAAAAACTCGAATTTTTTTTGCCGGAGCTTTCCTGTAGGTGTTGTTCAAAACACTGACTACGAATAAGACATCTTTGACGCCGGTGCCACCTGGCGCCATGGTCTTTCTCACCCACCCGCTATAAACTTCCGTTTGGTGGTAATCGGGGCCCGATAACAAAAACGGCATTCATTACCCCACTCCGCTGCTATGTAACCCTCTGCCAAAGCTGACCCAGAGGAATGAGTGGCCCTCATCCAAAAGCTTCGCACTTTAGCATTTAAGCATTTGCAGAGCTTCCATTTGAGCACTTCACGAAATTGTCAAATATGTCTGTCTAAAC